CACACACACACACACACACACACACACACACACACACACACACACACACACTGTTATGCACCTGACGCTAAGAGGCGGAAGTCGGGTAACATGGCTCTGCGAGCTTTTGTTTTGAAAGGATTGACCGGAAACACCTAAATAAGTTTCCGCTAGCTTCATGCTAATCGTCTTTTTTCTGTACCCGGCTCCGTTTTCTGTGGATAAGGTCAGAACTGAACGAACCGGTCCGGTACCGCGGGACACTTGCAGAGAACTTGGACCCGTTATGAATCCGGTACTGGTTTAAGCTGTAACTGGACCGGGTCAGCAGCACACAGAACCAGCGAGGCGGGCAGCAGGAAGTTAGCCTGTTAGCTCCGGGGCTGACCCAGCAGAATAATGGATCTGTTCGACGACCTGCCGGAACCGACACAGACCTCAGGTGAGCGGGCTCGGAGCGTTAAAGGTACCGGAACAGACCTGGGCTAACAGCAGCACCGAACCGGGCCAAGAGCCGAACCTGGTGGTCCTGCAGACCAGGACCCGGAGCAACATGAAATGTGTATTTGTTAGTAAACAAGTAAATTCATAATGTGAAATAAATCACAGACATTTTAAAGAAAAGCTTTAAGAACAAAGTTTGATCTAATTAATMATTCAGATATTATTAATAAGAACCTTTGAAGTGTTTAATATTGTTTTATTACAACAGATAAAAAGTTTTCAATCAAACCAGCTGTAGTTTGATTTAATGACTTTCTGCTCAGCTCCGCCCCCATCATCTGTCCCCGCCCACACCGCCATCGATGAAGAGGAGGACAGAGGGCTGAAACGAAGGCGAGGCGATGAAGAGGAGGAGGAGGAGGAGGAGCTCAAGAAAGTTTGTAGAGAAGGTTTCAGCTGTTCCAGCGCAATGTTTGTCTGCTTCTCCTCCTCCATGAGACATACCAGACCTGAAGCTGCTGGAGGACAGCTGGACTCAGTCCTGACTGTCCCTGTCCTCTGTCTCTGTCCCTGTCTCTGTCCCTGTCTGTCTGTCTCTGTCCTGTCCCTGTCTGTCTGTCCCTGTCTGTCTGTCCCTGTCTGTCCCTGTCTGTCTGTCTCTGTCCTGTCCCTGTCTGTCTGTCCCTGTCTGTCTGTCCGTCCCTGTCCTGTCCCTGTCTCTGTCCCTGTCTGTCTGTCCCTGTCTGTCCCTGTCTGTCTGTCTCTGTCCTGTCCCTGTCTGTCTGTCTCTGTCCTGTCCCTGTCTGTCTGTCCCTGTCTGTCTGTCTGTCCCTGTCCTGTCCCTGTCTCTGTCCCTGTCTGTCTGTCCCTGTCTGTCCCTGTCTGTCTGTCTCTGTCCTCTGTCCCTGTCTGTCTGTCTCTGTCCTGTCCCTGTCTGTCTGTCCCTGTCTGTCCCTGTCT